CGGAGAACATGAGCCACTCACTCGTGAGGATCACATGGCTCGATCTTTGAATTTCTACACCGATCGCTCACTTCCCATTACAGATTCCCATTACAGATTCCCATTACAGATCCAAACACCTGCGCTCGGACGGCGAAAGCGAAGCAGCTGGCCGGATCCACACAATTGCGCAGAGTGCCTTACTCGCCATCGATCTGTCGAGGGCAAACACGAAGGCCTTTTTTTTCTGTCTCGCCTGGCGACAAATTGTCTGCTGCTTCGTGCGGGGGAAGCTCCAGTATCTTCGCGGAAAAGTTGATGATAATAAACTGCAATTTTTGGCATTGAAGCCTCGCCAAACCTTTTGCAAACGGGACTGGAGAGTCCCACATATCATCGTAAAGAAACAACCATAATGAAGTTATTAATTATAAACACATGAATTGCTCCCAATTACCGAGCGCATTATGCATCCCAATCACCCTACTTTAATGAATCCCTCCTAAAAGCTGGCTAATTTGCTTTCAAGACACCAACCACGTGACCATTGTTTGCCCGATGCTCCTTGTCAATTCCATTGAAAAATGTTTCCGTCTGTGGCGAAGCTGCATATAAATGTTTTTCTTGTCCGCTACGAGGTAGGTCGGCCATGCTATAATTGCACAGCGAGAAACAGTCGCAAGCAGTCGCAATTAGTCGCAAGCAGTCGCAGAGAGGCAGTCGCAACGGAGTAGTCAGGGCAGTAGTTAGTGCAGTCTAGAAACGCAACTTCCTCCTGGACGCTTCGTCCACTTGGCTCAAGCGACTTAGCATGGCCCACCCTACCTCCAACCTCGACCGCGCAATGGCTGTGTCACAAATGTCATTCTTCACCAGATCGTCCATGCGAGTTCCACCAGTTGCTCTAAAGAACACCAAATCTCTCGTTCGATATGTCCACTCCTCGCGGGTCCTACAAACAGGAATTGCTACGTAAAGCTTATTAAATAAATCCGCGATGGCCTTCTTCTACCATTCGACGAATCCCAATCATTCGGAATCTCCCTCAACTCGGATCAAACGCCACGAAATGCAAGACTCCCAACTCGGCAGCTAACAAAAACACCACTCGGTCCCCGCCACACTTCCAAATCCACCTCACGAGACAACGGAAATTCTTGGAGAGTTTCCAAGTCGTTTTTATTTATTTATTTTTATCGATCATTCCCATTGGCACTAAAACCATTTATCGCGATCGGACTGTCAATTTTTTTTTGCATTCTGGCCATCCGCGGCTTCCATAGAAACCGGGCAACTCGACTCACTGCGCATGCGCAGCTCTCCTCCTGGGTCGGGGTGCCGGTCGACGACTAAAACCTCCATTTCCTTTCCAGCCCTTGCGGATGACGGATCCATCGCGGACAACGGAAGGGAGTGGCTGCTCGTGGCCGCATCGGCAGGGTTGCCGGGTGTACGCGTGAAATGCTGCATCTGGCATCCTATACTTCATAGGGCTAATCCCTTGGGCATACGACGAAGTAATTTTTTTTTTCCTTTCACAACTTTTCTTTTGCTTCTATTGCGGAGTGTCTCATGCAGAAAAGCGAAATTTGCCCTTGAGTCGGGCGCTTGAGCTTTCCAGCGATAGAAAACGCGTTTCCCATAATTGTTCCTTTTCTTCGTTGTCTTTTGGCGGCATATGCAGTTAACATTGATGTGAAAGCGAGAAGCCAATGTCGACTAATGAAAGCGGGGTTCCGCTTTCATTAGTATTAAAATATTAAAATTTATTTTAATGTTTCTCTCTAAAGTTTGTTTTTATATCATCAAATGCCCATCGAGTGAGATATATTTTTATAAATATTTATATATCATAGGCGCTGCTGGAAGTTTCCGCGCCTCTAAGCAGCCTTCAGCAATATTTCAGAGGTTTCGACAATCAACGCACGAATGGACCCTTTCGAGGCGTAAATGATAAAGCACCTCTCACGCGATCCTATTTTAGCGCGTGAGACAGGTCGATTCCATCTTAAAATGAAGCCGCTCCAAGAAGAAAGCCAGGGTTGCTGACACAAGGCCATTCGTAACTTCATTTCTTCGTTTTTATTAAATCCACGCAGATTACAATGGAGCTTAAAAAATATAGTGCCTTCATGATATCCTGGATAAGCAAAATAAGATTAAAGTGAATCACGGAGAATAATGCCTTTGGAGGAACCACAAAGCACTGCAGTGTTGGCTACTCAGCGGCTGCAATGTCATGAGTCATGAGCGACGAGTCATGAGTGACGAGTCATGAGTCATGAGCTCCGCCGCTCCCCTATCAGCACTGACGCAAAAATACGACCCAGAGGGAGGCTATTGAAGTGATGCAAATTTGTGAGCGGCCTGTCAACAAAAAAGGGAATGTTAGAATTTCTGACGAAAATTCCGTCCGTCCGACCCTCGAATCCATCCGAATCGATTTCGCCGCGCAAGCCCGCGACTTCCGCAGGAACATCGCGGGCAACGCGATCGAGGCGGGGGGGGGGGGGGGGGGGGGTCCCCCGTAAATACGGCCTTGATCGGCACCACCTGGATTTCATTANGGGGGGGGGGGGGGGGGGGGGGGGGGGGGATTCCCCGTTGCTAGGCGACTGAAGTCGCGTGGGCGAGATCGCCCGTTCCCTGCATCGATACTCGAAGGCGGAGATTCTCCTTCTCCAGACCGTTGTCTCGAGGAGAGACGGCAGTATGTGCGGCGTTGCGTGAGAAGCCTGCCGTTTTTATGCTTCTGATTGTCTCACGTTCGACTTAATCTCATTATTTTAATCTGACTTAATCTTGGTTCAGCTTGGATTAGGATACTCTTTGCATCGTGTAGCCTCTCGTTACTAGATCTTTCCACATGATTTAATTGAATCTCATCCTGATGCCAGTGAGCCGCTTCGAAGGGCAATTCACCTTCGTGATTGGTGCCGTGAGCAGTTCTTTTCTGGCAGTTCGACGCAGTCGCAACTGGAGCTTGGTAAGTTTTTTTTTCTTTTTTTCTTTTCTTTTTTATTTATTTATTTATTTATTTAGTATTTAGCAGTCGAAAGCGTTCGATCCCTTCCCAAGACGGGCAATTCCTTGGACCCAGTGTAAAATATGTGAAACCCAAGAGCACAACCACAGTTTCAAAGTGTCACGCACACCCACCAACACCCAAGAAAATCACGCACAAACGCACGGAAATTTCCCTAAGCGTCAAGGTAAAACCGAACCTAACCGATCCAAACCTCCACACCGAGAAAGGAATCCCCTCCGGCACGCGGTCGGCCTCGCAAGCAACTGCCGCCGCGACGGTGACAGCACTTGCGACCGCTTCGATTCCCATCAGACTTTCCATGTCGCCTCATGGGAAAAACGCAAATGCACTGCATAATACCTCGATAAAGGTAAGTCCTCGATTCATCACCAAATAATATCGACTCCGTCACGAAGAAGTAATGATGAATCACCATAATTTATTTTAAAGTCATTTATTTACTTACATTTCCAAATTCTAATTACCTTCACCAAATGATTTCACCACCAGACTTAATGAATTCCCCATCAGCCCCAGGGCATCTGTCTCGACATCTAACTCAGTTATTCGAACAAGAAAGCTTCCCACAGCTGCTGCGAGATGGCGCCTATGTAGCCGCTATTTCATTGAATTCAGGGAGTGACTCGTTAATTTAAGAGCCCAGTACTTTTCATGCCGTACTTCTTTTTCTCACGGAGAACGTAAAGGAAACCACCGAAATATCCACTTCAATTTCGTAAAAAGACGATGCCTGTTTATTGCGGCACGATTCGAATCGGGGCTTCCCTCGATCGGGTGAGGGAATCGAGCCTTTTGGAGCCTGCGTCTGTCTCCCTTCCAGGAGTTAATGCATCCGGGTGTGGTGAAAGATGCGATCATCCGAGTCTTACCCATAGTGGGAAAGGTCTATATGAGTGATGAATGAAAGCACGATAGGACTCAAATTCCGTGCGGGAAGTGAAGGCAATCCACTCATTCGGAGATTCGACCGAAGGGATTCCTCGACGTAATACGAGTGGAGGAGTTGCGCGCACGCGAGGATCGGCAGAGACATCTATATGGCGACCTTGTCAATGAATTGGATTCGAGCGGAGTGGAGCCTCTAGGTGCACTTTCTAGGAACTACTTAGGTAATTAGAAATCAGCTGAGAAATCAAGTACAAATATAGAATCCCTCTCGAAAACACTTTTAATCGCCTGAATCGCATGCATATCACGTTGGCCAAACGTAAAATCTACTAGCGGGGCAAACTACGAGGAACCAACATTGGGTCCACATGGCAAATTTGGGATTCCAACGTGGGCAAAACGTTGGCCCAACGTGAGTGTCCTAGCAGGGACCTAATTCTCCCTCAGCTTTTGGGAAACTAAAGATGCAATGCAATAAATACAATTTATGCATAAAACAAGCACGCGGGATAATATGCAGCGACACGATGTACTTTCACCTTAATTTCAAGTCTACCCTTGCGAAACGCGATGAAAGCCGATTGCCACCATCTTGGTTCCTGCCTGAAAGGAGTCGCCAACAGTAATTTTCTGCATTACATTTCATGAGTTTAGTACTTAATTTTGAAACTACTAAGAAAAAAAATCAATGCATGAGAGAACATGCAAAATTAATTTTCGTAAATGGTTTCAAGAAACTGTTTTACTCTAGCCTGGAAGATCTGACCCAAATCAGGATAACAAATGCCAACGTGCAAGAAGAAAAATTAGCATCGTTCACTTCGGTCTTGAAAATTGGAAAGCCCTTGGCATCCAGAAATTCCCTGCAACGGCTAATTCACCCAAGATATATGTTCGTCCGTGTGATTCCTTCCATTAATTCAATGGGTTCTTTTTCCTCCTGTCAGTTTCAACGCGGGACTAATCAGAGGAACTCTCGGCGCCGGTGAAACAGGAGGTCTTTGGAGAACAGAGTAAGAATTGTGCTGGAAATGTCGAATTCTTGACTGCGACGAGAAACAACAGACTGTCCCTCTGTTTCCAGTCGAGAAAAGGAAATGGCGAAGGTACCGGCCGACGTGGAAAAGAGGACGCATCTGCAACTGGAAGCCAATCGCGTGACAAACGCGTCGCTGGAGAGCACGAGGCGGTCGGCGGCGATGTGCGAGGAGAGCTTGGGCGCGGGGGCCAAGACACAGGTCGCGCTACATCGGCAGGGGGACCAACTTGACGAAGTGGGACACTCGATGATGCAGATCGACGTGGGTTTGAGGGAGGCGAGTGGGAACCTGGATGAGATGCGGCGGTGCTGCTGCCTCTGCACGCTGCCGTGCTGGAAGGCGTCGCAGTTCGAGGAGGCCTGTGCGTCGAAAAGCGGCGGGGACGGGAAGGTGGTCGAGCGGCAACCGCAGCGGCTCCCGCCACCCCAAGTCACCTCCGGCTACATCCCCAGGCTGACGGACGACGCAAGGGAGGACGAGATGGAGGCAAACTTGCAGCAGATCTCTCAGATCATCGGGAATATGCGCAACATGGCCCTCGACATCGGTGAAGAGGTCAAGGCCCAGGAAGCGCAAGTGACCAAAATCACCTGCATTGCCGAATCCAACGAAACTCACCTGAAGCATGTCAATCAACTGGCAAGCAAGATCTTGAAATCGCAGTAGGGATTTTCCCTCTCGATTCCACATGGACAGTGTTGCTCCTCCGACAGCGCACTCCGAGTCAAGTAACGACTACGTCGTGGGTTTGCATCCATTAATAAACGGAATGGGTGTATGGTGCTGAGTCGCAACATTTCGCTCGGAAGTGAGATTTCTCCCAATCCACGAGAAAGAAGCAATCTCTCGACTTGAGCCGAAGGAGCTCAGCCCCATCCCATCGCCTTCCCAAACAACGATTTCTTCCTAACCGACACGGACAGATTTTCTTGAAACGACGGAGAACGGCAACCAACAAGTCCTCGACTTCCGGACCGATGGCTCCTCGAGGATAGAGGACGACTCCCTTCGGAAGAATATTTCTTCATTTCCCGTTCTCAAGCCTTTCAACGAGAGCCTCCATCCATGCCATTCACAGTGGATCGCAGTGGATGTTGACCCGTGCAGTCGTGCGAGAATGATCATGCCGGCAGCATGATCATTCTCGCCCATTCATCTATATCCATTAATGTTGCCCGAAAAGCAGGAAAGCCAAATCATTCTCGACCGATACTACCTAAAGTCCCATTGCAAATAATTCACATCTCATCGCGGCACTAAATCGAAAATTCTTTCCTCGTATCCCCATCAAACCTGGGTCATTGCAGCGGGAATTTCTCAGTTCATGCCATTTAAATCTTCGCTTCGCATCTTCGAAATTTCCCTGACTTTTCTCGCTGGACCAAGTGGGATGCATCAAGGCATCTCCCCATCCCTTCTTGATTGTCCTCTGCATTTTAATGCATTTTTAAATGCCGACTTCAGAATTTTTTTTTACAGGATGAGGATGGTATGATACAAATTCATGACTTTCCTTGAGGCAATATTTATTTTTTTGACTAGCTTCAGGAAATAAATATATATTGATCTCTTTAAATCATCCTCTTCGCGTTTAAAACTTATTCGCCATGTCGACAAGAAAGATGATTTAAAAAACCAACCCCATGTTCAGGACTCGATGTTGCAGCCAAAAAAAAAGAGGCAAATCATAACTCATAACTCACAATTCCTGGACGGAGTAATGGTCTTCTCGTCTTCTCTGGTAAGTTTATCTTGGACGTATCATGCTGTAGAATGTTCTCGAAAGTGATGAAAGAGGAAATGAGATAGGTCAGTTCCGAAATTCAGAGAATTACTATTTAATTTTCAAACGATCAGGATATCAAATTCATGCGAAACTAGAATGTAAATATTCTCCTTTCCCCGGTTTTCTTGGCAAAACATTTCTTCAATTCATCTAAAGAGTCCATGGTGCGCATGCATCAATGAGACTTTGCTAAGAAATACTTCAGAGAACGGAGGCGAATTCTAATCGGTTGGAAGATGTTGAACCCGAGACAAAAAGAAGAACAGGGCGCCTATGAAGTGCGCCCTTACCACGCCATTCCCCCTCAGGCCTTAACCTCGCTTCAAGCTGAATTTACTTTCCAAACCCTATTGAATGCCACGAAGGTTTTCAAGCAACTTGCCCGTATCCACATCGCTCTAACGTTTAAAAAGTGGAGAGGAGAGGCAAAAGAATCATTTTGCCCCCCCAATCTGGAAAAGGGGCATTTGCCCCCCCCCCCATTCCTACGCCCTTGGGACCTATAAGTTTCCTATAATAATTTATTGGTATACATTAGGCTTCCTATAGAATCTATTAGGTTCCTATGAGAATCTCGTAAGTCCGTGATTGACAGCACATCTGTTAGAGCAGTGGGGATACATAAACTATTAATCGAAAGGCGCTTCCATTGATATATTTCCCCCTCTTCCCCATTCCAATATCCATCACCGTGTTGGGGGGGGGGGGGGGGGGGGGGGGGGGGGGATGGACCCAGGTAAGAAACGAATATTCAGTCAGCATTGTAATTTGAGCTTTCCCAGCCCTTCCCTTCGTGGGGGCATAACATCTAACATGAATTCCATATTTACTCTAGCTGTCGCTCATCGCATCACTCAGACGAACGTTGAAGTTCAACAATGGCTGAACGTTGGGTCAACTTAGTAATGTCACTCATTGAAATGCTCACTCTTCATCCCTCCCCAGTAGCACCCCAATATTGGGTCAATATTTACCGCCAAGATGTATACATCTTGGCTCTACATTGGCACCCATCTTGGACCATTATTGGCATTACTACACGGAAAAACATTGGGCCAATGTTGACGTTAATATTTTCCCAAGTTTTTTTTTTTCCCAGCGGAGGCATTCCAATTTGCAGTACTAGTACGGCCTGTAGCAGTCCTTGCCCATGTCTCTTCTGTGCATAAGCAGAGTGACATAGAACAGTACAGAAGTTGACTGCCCCTGAACGTAGACTTCAGGAGACGGTCAACTCCGTGTTGTTCTACGCAGTACTTGGGAATTCAACCACTCATTTCGTCCTCAGGATGAGGAAACGGAGGATTGACTCCACAAATACTTTCCAAGTTCTAATAAATCCTTTCAGATAGAAGAAATAATTTTTTTTAATTATAAAGTTAGGAGCTAAATGTATGATGGGCCCCGCTGTCATGTGGTGGACCGACACATGACTCTCGCCCACCATGGTGAGATCCTCCCAACATGAGGACTGGCAGAGAGCAAGACCCTCCCAACGTGAGGACTGGCAGAGAGCAAGACCCTCATGAAGCAAATGACTTAGCCCTGAGAAGGTGACTCATGGCTATGGGAGAGAAGTCAACCCGAGAGAGAGCTGCTTCTCCCGCAGGATCTCTCCCTTCAGGTTTTTTATCTTTAGGGGATTAATTAAAGAGTAAGGAACTATGCGGCCTTATTGAGAAAGCAACCTGAATTTATTTAGGTTAGTATCAGTGTTTTGGGGCGCTTAGTATTTAGGTCCACCTGAGCCGAAGAAGAATGAAATCTATAGGGTCCTACCCGTTTTACTTCGTCAGTAAGGTGTGATTTTATTTAAGTCGATATTATATTTATATCCTATCGGAAGGGTTAAGGACAGAAGGAAAGACGTAGTTTTAATTGAAAGAAGTTTCAATGAAAGGAGGAGTATGTAGGTTCTGCCAGTTGATTCCTCAGACCTAGCGCAAATTGTTCATTCTCTTTCCATGGAAGGGAGTAAGCTCATCGGGAGTAAGCATCATCCATCATCCAAATCCATGAGATTGATGTGCTCATGGAGAGAGAACTGTCCTTGTGCAGGCGGTACCAGTACTGAAGATACAGCAAAAAGCAACGCCAATATTGATTCTGGTTGTGATTCCATTGATTGTGATTCCATCCCTGTGCATATTTCTTGCCTGGACTCCATGATTCTATCTGGAAGATGGGGATGACAAATAAGGAAGTGTCGAAGTTTATTGATTGCTACAATGAGGCAAGGCGAGACATTTGGGGATCTACAAAGCTCTCTTGTGAGAGATGATTCCTTGGGTAAGGGGAGGGCACTTTGTGCCCTTTGAGAAATGCGACAACCCAATACTTCCATCTAGTGGCCTAGAGGAGAACTTCAAACGGAACCCTATAGGCCTATAGGGTTCCGTATAAGCCTTATAGGGAACCCTATAGGTCCTATAGGTCCTATAAGGCACCCTATAGGCCCTATAGGGAACCCTATAGGTCCTATAGAGAATTCTATAGGTCCTATAGAGAATCCTATAGGTCCTATAGCGAACCCTACAGGTCCTATAGGGAACCCATCGGGTCTTATACAGAACCCTTTGGGCCTGTAAGGAACCTATAGGCCTTATGGGGAACCCTATTGGTTCCATAGGGAACCCTATAAGTTCTATAGGGAACTCTATAGGTCCCAAACTGAACTCTACGGGACCTATAGGAACCTATAGGATTCCATTAGGTTCCTATAGGATTCCTTTAGGTTCCTATAAGACATTTTCGTAAGGGAAGGACAGGGTCTTGTCTAGGTTACTTTGCTTTTAGGTATGTCTTTAGGTTCTTTTGCCGAAATTAGAAAGCTGCTAGGTCATCCTAATCCGTATTGCCAATATGTATCTATCGGTGCTACGTATGCAATTTCCACGAATGAAAAAGACAAAATATAGTCTTCCTGATCATTACACTGTAGAAGGCAAGATACGCTTTTTTTTTGTCGGAGAAGTCCCGAAACTCTCAAGAGGCGTAAGTCGAAGAACAGATCATTTTCTCCTAGGACCGGACGCACCTCATCTCTCCTAGCGTTCCAAGGATCTCCAATTTCCGCTCTCCTTTTACACGTTTTCAGTTCAATACAAACTGCCAACACGTTCCGTTCAGCCTTTCATTACAACCACCTGCCTCTCTCTGGCGACACGACCGACCTAACGCCCCCCGCATCACGCCCCCATTGTCGCAATAACGATAATTTCATTTCGATGTATTCCGATGGCGTGCTGATCACCCCAGATTTTCGTCCACTCGCCGCTACTGTTTACCCACGTGATGGCATCCTCCCCGTTTGCGCGGTTTCTTGCCCCTATATCTTACTGCACCAATCTGTCTTATCCAGATGCAATGAATGGTTTATTGAATTCTACAAAACTTCGTTGAAAACTCTACAGAAGCCTATAGGTCTCTCTGCAACATTTTTGCCTGGGTAGTACTTCCTGTACTAGTACTGCCTGTACTAGTACTGCTCGTACTAGTACAATGACCTGTCTATGCCCAGGTCTGTCTCATGCATGGGCAAGAGGCATAGAACAGTACAAGGCTTCATCTTCCCTTAATGAATGGGCTTTGGTAGCGCCCATCACCTTAATTTTCGCCCTTCCGGTGGAAAAAATTCAACCGTCTCGTATTCTTCTCTGAGAGTATCAACAGGAACGAAATTCGGCATAATTCTTCCTCTCTCAACACAGAATCGCTCCAAAAGAAAATTTAAAGCCACAGGGGTTGAGGATATCACCGAATCTCGCTTTTCGGAGATGTGAATTTCATTCTATGCCTTGGCCAGAGTGAGTTCCGTAGAGAAGGAGAGAAGGTGGGGGCTGAGGGCTTGGGGTTGAGGTTGAAGAAAGGTAAAACCTTTGAAATTTGGTTTTTACGTTACTACATGCACCAATCATGTGCAGAAAAAATCTACCCTTTCATGCTTCATGGCGTATCCGCGATGACGGATCCATCGTGGAAAATAGGAGCGAGAGGCTGCAACGACAGGGTTGCCGGATGTACGCGTGAAATGCAGCATCTGGCATCCTATACTGCATACTCTCCTCCCATCTCCACGCGACGATTACGCGATTAATCCCTTGGGTATACGACGAAGTAATTTTTTTCTTCTCGCAGCTTTTTTTTGCTTCTATTGCGGAGTGTCTCATGCAGAAAAGCAAAATTTTTGCACTCGGGAGTTTGAGCTTGAAGGAAGTTTCTCAAGAGATGGAAAACTCCTTTTCCAAAAATTTTTCCTCTTTTCTTCGTTGTCTTTTGCCTTACTGCAGTTAATATTTACAGCATTGACAGTTTTCTATTAAAATTTATTTAAATATCTTACTTTGAATTTTTCTCTTTTGCAAGCAAATGCCCTTCGAGTTACCTCATCTTTTAAATATTTCAGGTACCTATATCATAAGTACTGCTTGAAGTTTCCGCGCCTAAGCAGCCTTCAGCAATAAATCGGAGTTTTTCGGCAATCAACGCAGGAATGGACCCTCTCAAGACGTAAATTTATTATTGATTATTGATATGTATCACGCACCTGTCGCCCGATACTTCTTTAATGTCGACAGGTCGATCCCGTCTTAAAGTGAAGCAACTCCACACGAAACACGGATGAAACACGGATGAAACACGGATGAAACACGGATGAAACAGGATGAAACAAGGATTGCTGCCCCAAGGTTTGTGAATGCCATTCGTAACTTCATTTCCTCGTACTTCGTGATTACATTTCCCCGTTGTCAATAGGCAACGCTCATCATCGTTGAGCTTACCCAAAAATAGTTGAGCTTACCATATCGTGCCTTTACAATATCCCAGAGAAAAAAAAAGTTAAAGTCGATCGCCGATAATTATGCCTTCGGAAGATCGACACGGCCAGTGTCGGCCACTGTATCGCTGGGATTTGTTGAGTTATGAGTTGTGAGGTGAGTTGTGAGTTGAGTTGTGAGTTATGAGTTGAGTTATGAGTTGAGTTATGAGTTGAGTTATGAGTTGAGTTATGAGTTGAGTTATGAGTTGAGTTATGAGTTGAGTTATGAGTTGAGTTATGAGTTGAGTTATGAGTTGAGTTATGAGTTGAGTTACGAGTTGAGTTATGAGTTGAGTTATGAGTTGAGTTATGAGTTGAGTTATGAGTTGAGTTATGAGTTGAGTTATGAGTTGAGTTATGAGTTGAGTTATGAGTTGAGTTGAGTTATGAGTTATGAGCTATGAGTTATGAGTTGTGAATTATGAGCTATGAGTTATGAGTTGTGAGTTATGAGCTATGAGTTATGAGTTGTGAGTTATGAGTTATGAGCTATGAGTTATGAGTTGTGAGTTGTGAGCTCCGCCGCTCCCCTATCAGTACTGACGCAAAATTACGATCCGGAGGGAGGCTATTTGAAGTGATGCAAATTTGGGCAATTGCATGGTCGTGATCCATCAGCTAAAAGGAAATTTCAGCAGCGTCTGAAGAAAATTCGACCCAGGTTTGGTTCCGTGATGAACGAAAAGACGCGAGATGAAAACCTCGCGATTCGCGGTTCGATGAGCAACACTCATCCGAATCGATTTCGCAGTGAAAGTTCGCGAATTCCGCAGGGACATCGCGGGCAGGCGGTCACTCGGACACGACCTCGACCGCGTCGCGGTGGGAATTCCCCCGTTGCTAGGCGACTGAAGACGCGTGGGCGAGATCGGCCATTCCCTGCATCAATACTCGAAGGCGGAGATTGTCTTTCCCCCCCCCCCCCCCCCCCCCCCCCCC